AACATTTTAGAATAAACAATAAAATTTAAACAAACTCGTTTAACTTTATATTTTGAATGATATTCGACATAAAAAGAATTTAATCCGTTACAAATTCCCAAAAAAGAGAAATACCGGAACACCATTATTTATTTTCGAAAATTTCATTTTCATGGAGAATACGTTTATTATGCTTGAACACCAATATTCCTATTCTCCTGTCATAGTCTCACTTGGATACATAATATTAATTTTTAATTTAATTTACAATGAAAAATAATAATAATAATTTATTATAAATTGGAATTATTACAAAATTTTAAGTATGAGAATTTCAATATCTATAAGAATTACGGTAAGCAACATATAAAGCATAACATATCAAAGAACTAAGAATAAAAATGTAATTCAAATCAAATTAATTAATATTTTCTATTAGAATGAAGATTTTTAATGTGCTTATTGAAAGAGTTGCTGGTTTGTTTTGAATTCTAATCGGGGTTTGTAAAATACTGCAGAATGTATAAGTATTTATGATTTGAAATATTTTCTACTATGTATTTTAATATAATTACAGTATTATTCAATATAATTAGAACTACCTAATTATTATTTTTTTTACCTAATTATTTATTCGGTATGTTTAATTTTATTTAAAATTTCTGTAATTAGTTAAAATAATTTTATTCTGTTAATTTTTTTTTTTGTTTATTGCGGTGTAAGGTTGATAATATTTTTAGTTTATGTTTTTGTTATCCTTTTTTGTTTTATTTTTGATTAACGTTAATATTTTTATTTTAATTTAATAGTCCTGTTTTTTTTTTTTGCTTTTTTTGTGATTTTTATAAATAAAATATATTGTGTATTTTAATTTATATTTTTTACTTTACCAGATATTAATAATATATATTCACATTTTTGATTATAAATATAAATATATATATATTATATTAATATATACATAAATATATGTACATATACCCATAGATATCTATATATATACATCCATATATATACATGTATATCCATATATGTATATATTTATATGTATATATTCATATGGAGATAAATTTAATATTCGCATACATATATATATATATATATATATATATACACATATATATAGGTACATATGCATATGCATATATACATATATATATGGATATACATGAATGTGTATATATATATCATATATATATATATATATATATATATATATATATATATGTGTATATATATATCATATATATATATAAATATATATATGTATATATATATCAAACACATAAATATATATATATAAATATATATATGTATATATATATCAAACACATAAATATATATATATATATATATATATATATATATATATATATATATATATATATATCAAACATTATAGTCAAACAAATATGATTTTATTTTATTGGGAACTTTGATTTTGTGTTTCGTTTTTGAAATCCATTATTGTTAATTAAATTTACTTTTCTATATAAATTTTTTCAATCACAATGTTACTGTTGTTTTTAGAACATAAAATAAAATAATATTATACAATAAAAAATAATTTAAAATAATTTAAAAATTACTTATAATTTAAATTAAAATAATTTACAAATAAAAATTTTTAATTTAATTCCTAAATTAACATTTTAAAAAATATGTTTTTCTATTATCAAATTTTTACGGTCTGCCGAATTGAATAATAATCAAATTGAATTTGAAAATTTATGAAGATATCGGGGCCCAATTGTAAAACAAACATCTTTATTTCTACTTCTGCTAATACTTTTTGTATTAGTATGGTTAACCATACTTTTGACTCTTAGTGCAACAAAGAAATTACTATTTTTTGTATAAACAGAATATGTAGTAATTTTTATTATTTTAAATGTGGATTTGATAATGTTTGATTGATGAATATGTTAACTGTTGGAATGGCAGTGATTGGGTGAGGTTTTATATTTTTTTTTCCTTATACAAAGAAATATACATAATAATGATAAGACACTTCACAATAATGATATTTTTCATGAAAATTTGAACCAGACTCAAAGGAAAAGGAAGCATTTCAATTGAATGAGTTGAAGCTGCTATGTTGTATGCTTTATGATGACATTTATTTTATGAATAACAAAAATATATTGTCCTTTTTAGAATTTAATCTAGTATTTTTCGGATATAAACCAGTTAATATTTTTTCAGCATCTTTTGATATTATAATGAGTGTGTATTTGGTGTCTTTGTAAGTGAATTGCTGAACTTTTCTTTTTCTTGAATTTTTTTTTTTTGAATTTTGAAAAACTAAAAATAAAATAAAAATATTAATAAAATAATATTGAAATGAAAAATTTAATAAAATTATAAAAATAAAACAAAAATTATAATTTTCAAAAAATTATTTTTATTTAAAAAAAAAAAAAAACATTTTTTTTTTTTCACCTTCTTATCTCATTTTTTTTTCTCTCTTTTTCTCTCATTATTCAAATTATAAATTTTACATATTTTAATTTTTTTTTATTATTATTTCAAATTTTTATAATTACTAAAATTATTACTATTACTATTATCAGTTATATATATATATATTTTTTTTTGTTATTTTTATAAAATAAAAAAAAAATTTACTATACAAACAAAAATTTTACAATAATTTTTGAAAAATTTTCCACTTATTGCTTAAAAAAAAACGAATTAAAAAAAATTTTTTTATAATATAAAACATTATTAAATTCATTGTGAGAATTGATTTTAATTTGAGGTTTATAATTAAAATTATTAAATAAAAAGCAGAAGAATTAAGAAAATAGAATTTTGTTAGTGTTGAGTTTTATTCTTAATTTTAAAATATTCTAAATAACAAAAATTTAGTTTTAATTATAGTAATGTACAAAGGTGTTAAAATTAATTTTGATATTTAAATTTTGCATCACAAAAAATTTAGAATAGAAAATTTACAACACTTTTTTTTTTTTTTGTAATTTAAAATAAAATTCTACTTAAAATATCGAACTATAAATTTAAAAATCAATTCTCATTACTAGATTATTTATTAAAATTATTATTATTTTAATTCATTTTCAAATTAAAATAGAAAAATTTAAAAACAAAAACTTAAAAAAAAAAAAATAAACACATTTTTATATTCTATGGTACTAAAATTAATTGAAATTAAAACAAAAAAAAAAAAAAATGTTACAAATTTTTTTATTAACATTATTTAAAAATTAAGACAAAAGAAATGATAATTTTTTTTTTTTTAATAATTATACTCGTACTATCAAATTTAATAGTTATTAGTTAGAATTTCAATAATATTATTTTCATATATAGTCGAAATTCATTAATATTTTTTGTTTTTTTTTTTAATTGTTCCTAATTATTGTAAATAATAATAATTTCCAAAATAATTAAAAATTCAAAATAAAAATTAACAATTTTAATCGTAAGCCTAAATAAAATTTTGTGGGTATAAAGGGTAAATATATAGGGCGTATTGCTTTTTTAGTAATTTGAATAATATTAAAAAGCAAATAAAGTAAAATATTGTTATTTTAATTTGATTATTTTAAATTAGGTAATTATTTCATGGGTTTCAATTGTATATTAAAAATTTAAAATCATCGAAGAAATTTAAAGAAAGAAAAAATCATTAATTTCATAAATTTGAAAAAAAAATATTTATACTCATTCAATTCCCTTTTATTCGGAAAAAAATACTTTTAGTTTAGATAATGTAATTCGTGCACAACATACGCACTTTAACAAAGCTAATTTTCTTCTATGACTCTAATATTAAAAAACTTTCAGAAAATTTGCAGTTAAATTATGCACATAATTTTTTGTTTTTATTACAATTTGGGTCAGTATAAAATTCAAAAATTTGTAAGAAATATAAGGTTTTACACTGAAAAAAAGAAAATTTTAAATAAAAAAACTAATAAATTGTGTAAAATAGTCTGGAAATAAAATTTTTTTAAATTTTTTAATTAGAGAAAAATAATTTTTTAGTTGTTCTAATAATAATTTTTAAATCTGTTTTAAAATAAAGAGCAACATTAATTGTAGTTTTAATAATAGATGAACTTTCATTAATTAAATTTAATGAATGAGTTAATCACATTTATTCATATTAAAAATTTATTTGAAATTTATTAGAGCATAAATTCAAGATTTTGCTTATTAACACCAATGAACTATTGAATAATGATTAAATTATGAAATATTGAATATTATTGGACAAAAATAATAAATTGGTCAAAAATAATCTATTTAATTTTTAAAGAAATTAATATTAATTCCATTTATTTATGTTTATAAAATGCATACATATTTGATTTGACTAAAAAATATTTTATTTTTTTATTTTAAATTCAAATTGATAAAGTAAAGAAATTGAAATTCAATTTATGTAAATTAAATAATTAAAATTACAGGAGCGACTGGAAAAAATATATTAAAGTCCCCTAAAAGTATGCAAATTATAATATCACTAACAAGAAAAATTAGGTACAATTTCTGCTGATAAAGAAAATAAAAGAATTTTTTTGTTATGGTCTCTTTTTTTTAATAGCTATATTTTAAAATAACAAAAATCGTGGAAAGAATAATAACAAAAAAAAATAAGAAAAAAAAAACAAAACTAATTTTTTCTTTAATTTTTTCGAATTGCGAATCACTTGGATATTTTTGTTTTTTTTCTTTTTTAGTATTTAAATTTTATACATGTACTTTATATATCTTTATATGTATATATTATATATAATATAATTTTTTTTTGATTTCTATTTATTTTCTTTTTTTATTGTTAAGTTGAAATTTCAATATATTTTTTTTATTTTTTTGTTAATTATTTTTAATTAATATTTAAAAATTTAGTTTATTTTTCTCTGTGTATTTTTGTTCCTATATTTTTGTTTTTCTGTATTATTATTCTGTTCACACTTGTATATATATATACGTATATATATATATATATATTTATATTTTATAATTATTTTTGCAATTTTTTGTAAATTTTTCTTTATTTAATTTTTTCTTTTTTTTTATAATAATTGATTTTTCTTCCTTTTTTTCATATTTATAATTGTGGTTGAAATTTTTTAATTATATTATATAATTAAATAAAAATCTTCTATATTTATATATATGTATGTATGTATGTATAATGATGATACCATATTTGATTTCATCTTTTCATCTGTCTTTATTCAAATTTTGTGTTTTATTATTTGATTTTTTTATAAATTTGATTTTTTAAATTTTTGTTTGTTTGTTTGTTTTTGTCTTGAACAATAATTAATAATAATAATAATTACAAATATATTTTTACATAATATTATTATTATATAATATGTAAGTCTATACATACGAGAAGTAACTAAAAAATTTTTACTTTATAAATATAAATTGAAATTATATATATATATATATATATATATATATATATATGTATATATATTTATATATAATATAAAAAAATAATAATTAATTTTTGTATTTTTTTTTTTTTTGCTTCTTTAATTTTATTTTCGAATTTAACTAGAATGTTTTTACTATTTTTTTGTTTCTTTTATTAATTTTTTTTTTATGTTTAAAATTTTCTTACATTTTTTTTTTAATTTTTTTTTAATTTTTTATTTAATTTATCGCTTTATTCCTTTATTTTAACACTATTTATATTTTATATTTACTTAACCTCATCACTAGATGGCATTTTAATATTTTTTTTTTGTTTTTGATTTATTTAAACTTAAAAATTATAAATAATATGGTATACAATGGGTTTTTTGTTTTGTTTTCAAATGTAAAATAAAAACAAAAATAAATTTTTAAAAAATAAAAATTATATTTTTTTTTGTACCTATATTATAAAATTTATGATGGATTTTCTTGAATTTACTGTATTATGATTTGTTGGTGATTTTGTGTGTTTTAAATTTCCCAATTTACTATTAAATGTTTTCCTAATATGCATATACACACAGCCAAACTCCTTTTCCTCAAATTCTCTGTATGTAATTTTAATTATTCATTAGAATCCAACAATTTTTTTACTGACTTGGCTTTTTTAGTTTTGAATTTTCTTTATTTCAAAATTATTTCAAATATTTCGAAACTATTTGTGAATAATGCAAGTATTATTGAAGTTCTACTGCATATACACATATACAAAAACTGTATATATTTTTATTATTTTAAATATTTTTATTTTTTGTTTATATTTTAACATTTGAATTAAATGCAAATAAAAATTAAATTAAATATTTTGTAATTAAAAAAAAAAAAAAATTATTTAAAAAGTTTTTGTTTTTTTTTTTTCTGTATTTTATTTTCCAGTAGTTGATGTTGTCTTTGTCATTAACTGTTATTCTATCTTCTTCTTTTTCTTCTTATTTGTGTTCCATCTGTGGCAATTACTATTTAATTTTTAAAATCGAGTATGTAGTAGTGTTTAAAAGTAACTTTATATATTTTGTATTCCTTAATATTGGATTGATGTAAAATGTCAACATTTTAATATTTTGAACATTTTCCGTTTTTTTTTCTAGTTTATGTTAAAAACAAACATAAAAAAAATTATTAATTATTTTTTTTATTATTATTAAATAATAATAAAATAAGAATTTTTTTTTGTTTTAATTATTTTATAATTATTGTTGACATTTATATATAAATGACGGTTAACAATAGTGACGGACACCATCTAGGGAGAGAACTTGCTTTAATTTTCATTGTTTTTGTCGATTTGGTTCTGGACATAAGAATATGCCTTCTACACTAAATATTGACGTTTCTGAAATTAAAAAAAAAAAAGAGAAAATAAAAATGAAAATTATATAAAAAATTTTTTATTTTATTATAAATATAATATAGAATTAGTTATGTTTTTTTCCTTTTTATTACTTGGGCAAGAAAATTCCTCCACCCCAGCCACCATATCCCACTTAAAATACCCAGGTCCCAAGCAAAAACCCGAAGATATCTCTCAGGGAGCTGGATGTGAGCGCTCCCATATTAAGGGAGCTCCTCCCCAAACCATCTGCATCTCGTGACAGCCAGAACAGAATGTACATGGTTGTCACCCCGCCCTCCTACCAGAACCTACACAAAAGGGTGTCCGATTTACCTAATTTGTGCAAATGATATTTTACCGCACAGTCACCAGTGAAGAAACCAGTAATTGTACGAACTCAATTTCGGTCCACCCCAAGCAATTTTGAGCAGCCACTTTCTCAGCAAGATAGAAGGAATAGTTTCACATGACGACATCCCTCTGTAGCCCCCCACTGAAGATTTGATTTCTCCCCAAGCGGGGCGTCAAGTTTGCTCCAAATGGCAGTCCACAGAAGGGGACGGGTCGAACGAAAGGGATCTCAGATGTTACTATAATTAATTAACATATTAATTCGCGCTATAGATCCTAATTGCTTATAGACTTATTAAGCAATTACGATAAAAATTTGGAAAATATTGTTCAATTTTTAATTTATTATAATTTTTCCTGACATTCGAATATTTTTTTTTGTGTAGTAGCCTTTTATACTCGTAACCTAATGGAGAATAACATAAATGGAGAAAACAATTATTTACTGTGATATCAGATGTTCAAAATTACTGCTCTAAAATTTCAAATCGTTTATTATGTTAAACATTTTTAAATAATTAAATTTATTTTGAGAAATTTCGTTAATAAATTTTAAATCAATTTGCTTTAAAGTCAAAGCATTTGTAATTATCTTCGCTAACTCTATTATAATGTCAATGTATTTGACATTCCATTAGCAGCAAAATTATAAATTTTTAACCATCAATAAGTAATTACTTGAGTTTTATGTCACAAACCACACATTATTTCAAATATCCTTATACATTTTTTTTATAATTACATTGAACAAAGCTATTTTCTCTTGCATAAAATTATTTTGGTATCACATGTGTTCGTTCTTAAATTGCATTTCTCAATTATTTATCAAATTTCCTAAATAAATGAACGTTTATCCGACAATAAAATGTAGCCAATAAGTCAAGTATTATTTGTACTAGAAGTGGAAAATTTTTATTCTATACATACATACATAAAGTGAGATCATAATATAATTTTTAGTAGCATCATAATATTTAATCACAAAAGTACATATGTGTTACATTATTCACACAAATATGCAGTTATATATTATGCAAATTCTGTGAATAATATCAGTATTATCTATATGGACACACTTTTTCAGAAAAACACTGGAAAAAAGAGAACAAAATTATGTAGGTGAATAATAAAAGAATTTATTTTGAAATTCAAATATGAGATATTTAAATTTACATATTATGCATTTGTGTACGTAAATATTTATTTCAGCTCAGAAGATTAAATGTAATTTATAAACCTAAATAAAACCCAATACTGCCAATATAATAAATAGTATGCAGGTAGAAATTGCATAAGAGCGAATAAAAAAAGAGAAGAACACTCTTCAATATTTTGATAGTGGTATTTTTTCATTTTAAAGCTTATAAAGAACACAAATTTTCATAGAATAATTTTAGAATAAAAATTGTTGTAAGTTTGAGTTACCAGTTTTGAAGTGGTACATATTTTAGTATTCCGAAAAGCTATTTCTTGCTCATATGTAATACCGGTTAGATTGCAGGAGAATTCCTTCCGATTACTAAAGACAAAGAGGCGAACGGATTGGCATATTACGGATAACTTAAATTGCTCATATAATTTTAGGGACTGTCTTCTTTCTGCTACAAGTTGTCTCTTTATGATGATTAGGCGGCAGGTGTCAATGTTAAGAGTCGACGATTGAAATTTATTTACAATCAATATTGATTGTAAGAAGGAACATTTAATAATTCGATCAAATATCAAGTTTCATGATACCTATGCAATTGGCGTATTATCTCAAGAAAACGCTTCAAAAATTGAGATAAAATAAATATTTGAAATAAATATCCATACTTCCAAAAATCAACCCGTAAGGAAACAGTATTCCAAAAAAAAAACGATGCTTGTTGATCTCCTCCTTTTCTGAGTTCTCGCTTCCTTCGCTGAGTTCCTATTGTACTTCTTCTAAAGAATTCTAACCTTCCTCTAATATGCTCCATTTTATACATGATAGTTATTTAAATTGCTAATAAAATTAAATATCCTGGTTGGTGTCACTCAAAATGTTTACAATAAAAATTGAACACAAATTTTTGTCCAATATTTTTGTATGTGATAAAGATTTCTTGCAAAAAAAATTTTTGTTTTCGAAAAAGTTACAAAAATTTAAAATTAAAATCGATAAAAAAAATACCATAAAATCTTTTTCATTCGATGACTGTGGGCGTTTATATTAATTCGATATATATGTTTTTTTATATACTGCAGGACATATTGGACATTAAAATGTACAATGACAGATTGAGTGTAGGTGTAGTTACATGTTCATATTATTATATTGAAACATCTCTACAAATGCTATTTTTATTATTTATATGTATACCTATCTATATAAAACCTGTAAAACTACATATATACCCAAATTATACTTATATACATATATACTCGTATAAATACAAAATGCATATAAAAACCTCATATGTTCCATTTTAAAGTTTCCATTTTCAATATACCATAACATTATATATAAAAAAAATAATCATAGTAGCTATTAAAGGATTAAATATAGTGGATAATTTTAATAATGGAAAATGGAAGCGTGTAGTGGTTTGGTTAACAAAAATATGGTTAATATTATATTATATAATATAATAGAAATGATGGGGTTCAGATGATATTTTTAGAGGAAAATGTTTTAATTAATAATGTATAATGGTATAATTTTGACATTGGTTGTTATTTACAAGGATGATTTAATTTACTGAAAAATTTTCATATCTAGTATAAAAATTAAATGGAGTCGCAATATCAGTCAACTGATATACATAGATAAGTGTACTACAATAATTGAAAGTATGTATATGAAGTATGCATTCAATAATAATATGTTTTTTCAATTCTAAAACTTTAAACAAAAATTGGTTAATAAAAAATTTTATATATTTTATAACCGAGAGCATTTGTTACATAGCTTTTTAATTATTTAAAGGCTTAATATAAATTTTATTATTATTAATAATTATTGTAGAAGATTTAGATTAAATCTAATCAGATATGAAAATATTTAAAAATTTGTAAGTAAAATTCTTAAATTTCTAATCATATAATCTTTTAGTAATTAATTTATTAATGCAAGTATTAAATTTTCTTGCAAATTCAAGAATATTTTTGTACTATTTTTAAGAATTCATATTTTGATTAATAAAACTTCATTAATTTACATTCACATTTCTATAAATATATTCCAATACTTGTAACATTATGGTAAAATAGAAATATTACGAATAAAATTTTATAAAATAAATACTATAACATATTATAAATTCGGATCAAATCAATTATTTGTGAAATAGCACTTTTCTCTTAAACGAGTGAAAATAGTTTTTCTAAAAAAATAATCTACTTGCTAATTAAATTACACACATACTTTCATTAATATACCAAATAATATGGAAAAGTTTTTGCATACATTTAGGATGATAAAACAATAAATTGGAAAAGACTCCAACATAATGAGCGAGTTTGAAGGTTAAGTAATTGAGTTCAAATAAAAAATTGTATTATTAATGACATGAAATTTGCTGTTAGTTTTTTGCTTTTATAGAAGTTTGGATAAAAGCTTGCAATTTCGAAAATATAAGACGACAAAAATTCAAATTTAATTAATTTCGAATGCAGCAGATGGAAGTAGAAAACATTTTAGACTAATAAAAACAAAATAAATTTTTATTAGTGTGAAAAAGCTTCTAAAATAAAGTTGGGTCAAACCAATGGTTTGTATTGTAGCACTTTTCCCTTCAACAAGTGAAAATTCTGCTTTTAAATACAGTCTATGTATACCTATCACACTATAAAAATTATTTTCATTCATATACAAAACTATTACTAGGATTGCATATATTTAGGATGACGCATATATGCAGTCTTTGAAATAAAGCAAAAATTAACATAAAAAGGGGTTAACATAATGCTCGATTTTAAGGGTTAATTGTGTGAGTTAAGAAAAATAATTATATTTTTTAGTGTCACGAAATTTACCGTTAGCTTTTTGCGTTTATAAAAATTTGGAAAAGCTTGCGGTTTCGGAAATATAGGGTGTCAAAAATTCAAATTTTACGATTTTCAAGAGGTGATAACTTGAGAGGGGGTGGAGATGGAAAAAAAATTTCTTCTAACGAAATGAACTATTTGTTAATGTCTAAAAGCCCCTAAAATTTCAAAGTTCTAGAATATAGGATCTAGAAGAAAAACGACATCAAAAATTTGGAAAAAAAGGACTTTAGATAACGGTCAATTTCAACGGCCATTTTGTTTTTCTAAAGTTTAACTATAGTATACCGCGCTAGGGGAAGCAAGCCGCTGCCTTTCTGCGTTTGCAAAATTTCAAAAATACTTATGGTTTCATTGCAACAAATATTTAAAAAAGGCCATTTTTAGGGTTTTGGGGGGGTATAACTTCTAGAGGGGGGGAGATAGGTAAAAATTTTGTTCTACGAAAATAAGTTTCTAGTAAAGATCTATGTATATATAAAATTTCAGCTTTCTATCTTCAAGGGTGTAGAAGTTTTGTAAACAGACACACGGACAGACGGACGGACGGACGGACGGACGGATGGACGGACGGACGGACGGACGGACGGACAGAGTGAAACTAATAAGCACTTTTTTCAAAAAATTTTTTGGAAAAG